GCGAGCGCGCTACCGCTGAGCCACATCTCCAGCCCCAATAATAACTTTATTTTATTCTTATATGGTGCTGAGGATTGAACCCAGTCCTTATGCATGCCAGGCGAGCGCACTACCACTTGAGCCACATCCCCAACTCCTGAGCCATTTTTATTTTTTCCATTTTAATTTTTTCTATTTATTTTTAATAACACATTTATTTTATTTATTTATTTTTATGTGGTGCTGAAGATTGAACCCACAGCTTCATGCATGTTAGACGCACACTCTACCACTGAGCCACAACCCCAGCCCTTTTATTTTTTGAGACAGGGTCTCATTAAGTTGCTCAAGGCCTCGTTAAATTGCTGAGACTGATTTTGAATTTATAATCTTCTTGCCTCAGCCTGCTGAGCTCTGGGATTACAGGTGTGCATCACTATGTAAGGCACAAATGGAAAATTTGAAAGCAAACTTTGCAATATGGATTTTGGTATCAAAAAGATCCACTAAAAGCATTAATACCATCATATTCTTTCTCTCTCTCTCTTTTTTTTTCCCTATAATACTTAGGGTGAAACCCAGGGTCCTCTAAATTGCCCAAGCTGTCTTTGAACTTGCAATCTTTCTGCTTAGCCTTCTGAATTGCTGATATTTACAGGCATGCACTACTGTGCCTATTGTGTCCAGCTAATTTTTTAATCCTTTTTTCTTTGAAATATGGAATGCTTCATAAATTTGCTTGTTGTCCTTGCATGGAGGCATGTGCTGCCAAAGTGAGGACTAATTCTTTCTTTTTTTTAATATATATTTTTTAGTTGTCAATAGACCTTTATTTTATTTATATACTTATATGAGGTACTGAGAATAGAACACAGTGTTTCTTCACACATGCCAGGCAGGCTCTCTACCACATTATGCAATATTATTATCCAATATTATTGGATAATCCCGCAGGTAGGGAGGCTGACACAGGAGAATCGCGAGTTCAAAGCCAGCCTCAGCAACAGTGAGGTGCTAAGCAACTCAGTGAGTCCCAGTCTCTAAATAAAATACAAAATAAGGCTGGGGATGTGGCTCAGTGGTCAGTGCCCCTGAGTTCAATCCCTGGTACCATAAACAAATAAATAGAAATTATTGGATGATGAGAAAGGAGAAGCTGTCCAAAAAAAAAAAAAAAGAGAGAGAGAGAGAGAGAGAGAAATACTCAATTGAATAACAATCTAAATTTGTCTTGTATCTTCTTTTGTACCAAATAAGCATTGGGTAGGTTAACCAGATAAAAGAGGGTAGAATTGGGGCTGGGGATGTGGCTCAATCGGTAGCGCGCTCGCCTGGCATGCGTGCGGCCCGGGTTCGAGCCTCAGCACCACATACCAACAAAGATGTTGTGTCCACCGAGAACTAAAAAAAAATAAATAAATATTAAAAATTCTCAAAAAAAAAAAAAAAACTCTCTCTTTAAAAAAAAAAAAAAAAAGAGGGTAGAATTACTTCATAAGTAAGATATCATGGGGAGGTCAGCTCTTTTTTTTTTTTTTAATTTTAATATTTATTTTTTAGTTTTCGGCGGACACAACATCTTTGTTTGTATGTGGTGCTGAGGATCGAACCTGGGCCACACGCATGCCAGGTGAGCGCGCTACCGCTTGAGCCACATCCCCAGCCCAGGAGGTCAGCTCTTAACATGGTGATTTAAACACTTAAATTTATAGTTGTCAAAAAAGAGAGAAAAGAAGAGTAGGTGTGCCAACAGCTACATGACAAATAGAATGCTGGCCTAAGGGAATCAGGGCAAAAAACCTTTATTCTGAATAAGTTAAACTTTTGTTATCATTCCTAATCAAGATTTGGAGAATGTCAGCGGTTAGACTAAAGACCAACTCTAGCTCTTTTCTCATGTTTGTGAAGAAATAATCTCATTGGCTTCTAAAGGCTTTTGGATTATAAAAGTATTTGTTCTAATCAGTGTGACCCAAACCACTATAAATCCAAAAGTTGCTGGGTGTGGTGGTGCATTCCTATAATCCCAACAATTTGGGAGGCTGAGATAGGAGGATCCCAATTTTGAAGTCAGCCTAGCAACTCAGCAAAACTCTATCTCAAAATAAGAAATAAATAGAACTGGGGAGGGGCTGGGGTTGTGGCTCAGAGGTAGGGAACTCGCCTAGCATGCGTGAGGCACTGGGTTTGATCCTCAGCACCACATGGAAATAAAATAGATGTTTAAATATTAAAAAAAAAAAAAAAAGAACTGGGGATGTGTATACTGGTAGAATGCCACTGGATTTAATCCCTAGTACCACCAAAACCAAACCAAAACAAAAAATTAGTCATGCATGGATATTGGCAGAGCTCAAGACTCAGAATATCAGAATTCAAAGGAACTTAAAATCAGGTTGAATACTGAGTATCCCCCCCCAAAAAACCCGAAAGTCTATAAATGTTCTGATTTCATGTATGTGTATATTTAAGCCAAATGTTTTGAATCATTTAGCTGAAAGCAAAATGATTTAAAACAATCAATAGCCTATAAAAATGAAGGTCACTATTGCCCCCTTGTGGGCATGACAGGGTCAACCTTCATTGAGAAGTTATAATTTCATTTAACAGCTGTTATTTTGAAGACCTTGTAAAAAAAAGGACATTGAAATATAAAATCTCAGTCTCAACAACCTCATAAAGTTGGAATTATTATATTCAAATTTTACAGATAAGTAAATGGCCACAGAGAAGAAGTTTTTCAGAGGTCAAGAGAACACAGTATTGATTTCAAAAAAATCTGTCCATATTATGTACATGCTTCTTCTATTTTACCAGATTGCTGCTCAATAGTAGTATCTCATTCAACAATGTTCCTTTGATGTTATACAAATTTAACTGGAAATTCAGTTATTTATCTACAGTTTTTATTTAGTATTTATAGTTTCCCAGACTGGATTCAAATTAATCATCTTCCTATCTTAGACTCTCTGGATTTACAGGTGTGTGCCACCGCACCAAGCTTATTTATTTTTAAATGAAAGTCAGAAACAGAAAAAGAAACCAAGAGACAATTGGAAAACTTATTAAAATTAGAATATGAAATCAGGTGTGGTAGTGTATGCCTGTAGTGACTCAGGAGGCTGAGGCAGGAGAATTGTAAATTTGAGGCAAGCCTCAGCAATTTACTGAGGCCCTTAGCTAGACCCTGTCTCAAAATAAAAAAATACAAGGGCTGGGGATGTAACTCATTGGTAAAACAACTCTGAACACCCCTGGGTTCAATCCCCAGTATTAAAAAAAAAAAAAAAAAAAAAAAAAAAAAACCTTAAAGGACATAAGGACATAATTTCCAGCATTGAAAATAAATATTTGGGGTACTCTATTTTTTTGGTACCAGGAATTGAACCCAGGGGTGTTAACCACTGAGTCACATCCCCAGACCTTTTTAATATTTTATTTAGAGACAGGGTCTTGTTGAGTTGCTTAGGACCTCCCTAAGATGCTGAGGCTGGCTTTGAACTTGCAATCCTCCTTCCTCAGCCTCCAGAGCCACTGGGATTATACTGGGCCCAGTATTTGCAGCACTTGTGCCCCTCCCAGGCGTGCTGCATTGGGAGTTCTGGGGCTTTTTTCTTTCTTTCTTTTTTTTTTTTTTTTTTAATTTTTTTAGTCATTGATGGACCTTTATTTTATTCATTTATTTATATGTGGTGCTGAAAATTGAACCCAGTGCCTCAAACATGCTAGGCAAGAGCTCTACCACTGAGCTACAACCCCAGCCCCTCACCTTCCTTCTTAAAAATATTTCTGCTTGCTTGAAAGAAATAAAATATTTATAAAATGAGATGTTGTATTTGTTCCTTTTTAAATAGAAGTTTTTGTTTAAAACATGATGGATTCAAAACATTAATACCAATACTTTTTTGTTTTTTTAAAAAATATGCTCTCAATGGGCTGGGGTTGTGGCTCAGCAGTAGAGCACTACTCACCTAGCATGTGCAAGGCCCTGGGTTCGATCCTCACCACATAAAAATAAATAGATAAATAAAGATATTGTGTCCAACCAAAAAATAAATATTAAAAAAAAAAATGCACTCAATGGAGCTGGGGTTGTGGCTCAGTGGTAGAGCACTCACCTAGCATGTGTGAGGCACTGGGTTTGATCCTCGGCACTACATATAAACAAATGAACAAAATGAAGGTGAACAAAATGAAGGTCCATCAATGTTTAAAACAATATTAAAAGAATATGCTTTCAAGAACAAATTAAGTCTCATACAATCACATGTATGTCTCTTTTGTGTGTGTGTGTGTGTGTGTGTGTGTGTGTGTGTGGTGCTGGGGATTGAACCCAGGCCCTTGTGCACAGTAGGCAAGCACTCTACCAACTGAGCTAGATCCCCAGCCCACACATGTAGCTCTTTTATATCAGCAGTTCAACAGTTATTTATGTTTATTCCACTTTGTTATTACTTTAGGTTAAGAATGTTTATTTCCTTTAACAGCACCATATTGAGGCACCCTTATGTTTTCATTTTGGGGTCAGACATAAAGCTTCAATAGACAAATCTGTGGAATATTTTTCTTTTAACCTAAATATTCATGTATAATCCCTATGTATGATCTTCCCCTCCTCCAGAAAGAATAAGTGTCTTTGCTTTAAAAGCTTTTATTTGGGCAATATTTTATTTTAAAATATTTTTGCTGGGTTAGGGGTTGTAGCTCAGTGGTAGAGTGCTTGCCTAGCATGTGTGAGGCACTGGGTTAGATACTCAGCACCACATAAAACTGAATAAACAAAATAAAGATATTGTGTCCATCTACAACTAGATTTTTTTTTTTTTTTTCTGCTGGGGACTGAACTCTGTGCCTCAAGCATGCTAGGCAAATGCTCTATCTCTGAGCTACATCCCTATACCTGTTTGGAGAATATTTTAATAAAGAAGTGAATATCAGACAGAGTACTCATTCATCTCTAGGAAAACGAGGTTTTATTAATTTTTAAGTCTAAAATAAGTGCCACGTTATGAGAACGTTACCTGAGGTTGTTTTGGTGTTGGTTGAAGAAACAAGGCTAGCAAGGTTAACAACCTCTCCTGAGGTGAAGATGAATGGGGCAGCCACAGTCACAGGGTTAGGCACAGAGTCTGCTCTCTCGGGATGAGCATTCCCCTGATTCTGCATTGCTTCCTACCAAACAAAGCAGGATTCAAAGTCAGAACACTTATTAGCTTTAGTTATAGGAATAGTACAAACCCCCTCCTCATGCTCTGTCAAGCAGAACTAGTTCTGCTTGACAATGTCCCAGGGAGTGCAGAGTTTTCATCAAGACTGCTTTTGTTTGTTTGTTTTTGTTTTGTTTTTCTCAAACCACAGCAACAGAGATGTTAGATTGCTTTCCCAAGCTTGTTTCTACTTAAGAAAAGCAGAGGTGTTTTATTTGCAAAAACTCATAGATAATTCCCTTATCCTCTCTGGATCTTTTTTTTTTTTTTTTAACTTAAAAAAAAGGAGGGGAATTGGTCTGAATAGTCTATAAAATAATTTATAGCACTAATATTCTGTGATCAATTATCTACAAGACAATGTGGTAGCAGGAAATCCCTGTAGAGAACTTACAGAGAAAAAATATTCTCTAGAGTTTTGTCCAACTACTTGTTCCATTCTGCCATTGAATAATCCCTAAGAGACTATATAACGAGCAAATAAATGAGTGCCAGATTTTAAAGTTGAGTTCCATATGCTGTACTTTTGCTTCCATAGATCTTGGTGAAAAAGTAGCTTGTCATTATATTTTATTTTTTAAACTTCAGAAGTTTTTTACAAACATGATCACCACTAAAAAAGTTCACTTATGAAAAGGCTCTAAATAAGAATTGAAAGTCGAAGAAGAGAACCAGTCTTTGGGGAGTCATTTGTCAGGAAAAAAAACTGAAAATGCAGTAGAAATGGCTATTTTTCACACATAATGATCTCTTTGAGAAGAACTTCAATTGAAAAAGATTATCTGTTCTCTGAATACTGCTGAATTCCCTCTTCAGTACACCATCATCTATCCTCCACTGTTATTTCTTTAGTTGAAGCCCTCATTGGCTCCTGCCTGGCCTAAGGAAAGACCCTTATGGTGATTTAGCATTGCCTTCTCTCTCCAATCTGTGTGCCACATTCCAGTCATCTTTTAAAAACAAGACAATCTTATCAAATCCTCTATTTAAAAGCCCCTAGTGGGGGGCTAGAGCTGTGGCTCAGTGGTAGAGTGCTTGCCTGGCATGTGTGAAGTTCTGGGTTCCTTCCTCGGCACCATATATAAATAAATAAAATTAAAAATCCACTGACAACTAAAAACTATTAAAAAAAAAAAGCACCAGTGGACCCCCAAGTGCCCACATAATTCAAACTCCTTCAAAGGTAACATCCTTATATTCAGAATCCAGTCTAATTCTCAAGCCTTAGCATCTGCCACTCCCAAACTACACTTCCCTTTACCCATTCTCTGGTCACACAGCTACTTTCTTTCTTTTTGGGTACCAGAGATTGAACCCAGGGGCATTAACCACTGAGCAACATCCCCAACCCTGTTTATGTTTATTATTTTTATTTTTATTTATTTTTTAGTTGTAAATGGATCTTTTATTTTATTTATGTATGTACATGTAGTGCTGAGGATGGAACCCAGGGCCTCACACATGACAAGCAAATGTTCTACCACTGAGCCACAATTCCAGCCCCCCTTTTTATATTTTATTTTGAGACAAGCTGTTGATAAATTGCTCAGGACCTAAGTAAGTCGATAAAGCTGACTTTAACTTACCATCCTCCTACCTCAGGCTCTCACTTTCTTGAACATTTTATGTTCTTTCACACCCCTGTCTTTATATCTGTCTATATACTGGAGTTTGAGCCCAGGGCCTCACACATGCTAGGCAAGTGCTCTATTGCTGAGATGTATTTCCAGCACTTTTTTTTTTTTTTTTTTTGCAGGGAGATGGGGGTGCTTTACCACTGAGTTATACCCTCAGTCCTTTTATTTCTTATTTTGTGACAGGGTCTTGCTTTATTGCTGAGAGTCTCACTAAATTGCTGAGGCTATCTCAAAATTGTGTTCTCCTGTGTTAGCCTCTGGAATTGCTAGGATTACAGGCATGCACCACTATATCTGGCATTATTTTTTAAAAATTTGAGACAGAGTCTTGTGAAGTTGCTGAGGGTCCTGCTAAATTGCTGAGGCTGCCTGAAACTTGCACTCATGCTGCTTCTGCTTTCCAGGTCATCAGGATCACAGGCATGCACACTGCAACTGTCTTCAGCCCTTTTTTAAAAAAAGTTTTTATTTTGAGACAGTGTCTCGCTAAATTCCCCGGACTGGTCTGGAACTTGGCAATCCTGCCTCAGTTTCTGAGTAGCTGGGACTGCAATACTTCTGCGTCTTTGATTTGCTTTTCTTCTAGCCTAGAATGTAATTTTCTCGCTTCTCTATTTACTTCTTCAAAGCAGTATTTTACATATACTTTAATCCTTCCCTTAAAAAATCATTGATACTCCTTACACTATGCTCCCACGATACTTGCTAGATGTTTTTTTATTTTGTAATATACTTATACATTATTTCCTGTCTTCATCTTTTTTTTAATATTTATTTTTTTAGTTTTAGGTGGACACAATACCTTTATTTTACATTTATGTGGTGCTGAGGATCTAACCCAGTGCCTCGTGCATGCTAGGGAGCACTCTACCACTGAACCACAACCCCAGCCCCTGTCTTCATCTTTAACATGTTGTGAACATAAGGACAAGGTCATGTCCTATTAATTTTGGGGGTGTATGTGTGTGGTGACACTTTTTTTTAATTAGTTCTAATCAGTTATACATGACAACAGAAAGCTTTTCGATTCATTGTACACAAATGGAGTGTCCTATTAATTTTTACATCCCCATCTTAGTGTTCCTTTTATATACAAATACTGACTTAAGAAATTAATGGATATAGCTGGGCATGGTGGCTCACATCTGTAATCCCAGCGGCTTGGGAGGCTGAAGCAGGAGGATGGCAAATTCAAAGCCAGACCCTGTCTCTAAAATACAAAATAGGGCTGGGAATGTGGCTCAGTGGTTGAATGCCCCTGAGTTCAATCCCCAGTGGGAGGGAGGGAGGGAGGGAGGGAGGAAGGAAGGAAGGAAGGAAGGAAGGAAGGGAGGGAGGAAGGAATGAATGAATGAATAAATTTTTGAATTTGAGTTGAGAT